TTAATCCGCTCTGCCACTCCGTTCCACAGCACCCACCAATCACTATTATATAGCACTGTATACTTATGTCTTATACAAATATATTCTTTTACACCAATTATTATAACCTACACAATTTAAAAATAAAGAAAACTAATTCGGTATTTTGGTTTTCGTGTAATGATCTTTCAGAAAATGGTCATTCGAAGTAACGAACGGTTATCAAAATATTATGACATTATGATCACACGGCGTGTTGTATAGGCAATTTTGGTACATGTATGTCGCTGGTGTGTTATTTATTTCAGCATTAACATATTATTTTCTTATCTATTTGAAAGTAATTTTAAAATATCATTATACTCGGTAGTTATATATTTATAATATGATCAATTATCACATTCTAAAAATAAATATTTCAATACTAATATCATTACAAAATTAATTTGTATTAAAATTTCAATCGCAATCCGTTGCTTATCAAGTTGATATTTTATTTTATTTACTGGATCTCGTTCGTCTCATGTTGAATTGATGGGCGTCGATTGCAAGTGGTCATAAATCATGGTTCGTAATAATAAAATTAGTGCCCGAAATTAACGCGTCACCGATCGGTTACGACGACTATAGGACTTAAGTCTAGCGGTCAACGCATCACCCACGCCAGCCGCAGTTGACATGAGTACGGTCTCCGCATCGCTGCTGATTCAATAGTTATAAGACGTCACGAACACTTAGCCAAAATTCGGCCTCTTTGCTCGTATTTTCCATTTACATCTGCAGTATAAATCCATTCATACGACCTACGCCTTAAGACATTGGCTTAGCCCTATATAATACTACCGTAAGCAATCTACCTATCCCATCTCTATCTCGACATTGTTAAATATTTAGGTGTCAACATCGATAAAATTATATTAAGACCAGACGATTAATTCTTAACGCTCGTTCCTGATCGCTAAAGAAAATGGTGTGCCTATCTTCTAACTTAATCTTTTAACGTATCAATGCCAAGCCAAGTGTCGTTAATTGGTGGCTGCTTCTTAATCTCGCAACCCGAATAATGTTTTTATTCGCTACCTCATATATACTTATTGTACTTTTTGTATAGAATGTAAATTTCTTAATAATACAAAAAAACACATCTGCAGTACTCCAGCTTCGGCCGCAACCATACGCTCTCTGCTAGGACAGGTTCAGCTAATTTACGATTAATCAATGAATACAGCAAAAAGTGAGACCATTATATAGAAAATAGAAATTATTATATTTCCTTTATTAGATTTTTGCAGTAAATGGTAGCACATTTATATTTATATTATATAAAATATAATATGTAATATGTTTAATGCTACTAATATTATAAACTCGAAAGTTTGTATATTTGTTACTCTTTCGCTTAAAAACTACTGAATGGATTTTAATGAAACTTTAAAATAATATAGCTTATACATCAGAATAACACATAGGCTATAAATTATCCCCATAGATCCAATCAGGGTATGTGCTCAAACAGGGATTTAGAGATTTACGGTGGACATTTTTGTTTATAAATGGTCGCCATGGTTTTTAAAGCTAATATAATAATAATTATTGGTTGCCGTGAAATCAGTGTATTCATTCAATGCATTTAATTTTTTTGTGCGCTGTGTTTTGATATTATAATATTACAATTAGTCCAGCTGTTTAGGAGGAGTTCAGTGACATATTATGTATAACTTTGATACTTTAGAGTCAAATTATATGAAGTTACGTACAAACAGCACGGGGTCCGCGATCTACCGTAGGTAGATTGCCTACCTAATAATATACTGCTGCAAATCAGAATTTTTATCCCAGGCAACAGAAGAGTTGAGTTAAGATACATTTTGAACACCATACACCGAATATTAAATAACGAATTGAACAAAGTTTGAATCATAATAATCATATAGAAATGGTACATTTAACGGGAACCGCGAAGTGCTCGGGATCAGCTAGTATGTATAATATTTATAATAATTTATTATATAAAAATAATTCTGAGCATTATAATTTCATTTTTGGATTCTTTCCATTCCACACGCTCTGTATTTCAGAGGCGTACAAACTAGCCCACCTCTTCTTTATTTGTTGATATAAAATGTTAGTCTTCGTAAATTACGAACATACGATTTTACTTTCGACTTTTTAATTCACACGAAAACTCACTATTGTGAAGCACTATCGGTCGTATAAAAACTAAACCATCACCTTGTTATAATTACATAGGGTTTTACACTAGTTTTTCATAATCACCGTAATAGTAGTGGTACTTACAGTGAACTTTATCTCATTATAGTCGAGCAATGTATAGCAATGGGTAAATATAATTTTAAAAATAACTAAAATGTGAGTTTATTTTTTATCAGGCAATATAGTATCGCTAAACACTATATTTTTAAAAAATGCTAAAATATGCATAATAATTAAAAATATTCCAAATATGTGAACATATTTCCAGACCAAGTCATTATAGGCTAAGATTCAAATCTGTGTCTTACCTATTTTTTGGCGTCTAACTACTTCTTAAATTAATAACTAAAAAAGTCACTCTGCTGTACAGTAGGTTACAAGTGGGTCACTGTAATGGATGATGTTGAATTTGAATTCGATGATATATTATCATTGTATAAGAAAATCGATTCTGAGCGAAAACGGTCAGTCAGCCTATGATATTACGAAGTATATTAATTTATGATATGAAGGTGAATAAAGTTATTTATATTATATAACCTATTAACGTAGTATCTTCTTTTAAATGTTCAATCCTTAGCTATAAAAGTTGAACATTTTATACATTTTTAACTACAAAATTATTATTAAATTTTAAGTGTGATAAATTTTGTCCAAATTTGAACTTTAAATGCTTATAAATATAATATTTTTGATTTTCTATTGTAACAATATATCAGGAGCCTTGTATTAAATTTTCACGCTTTTTTACCCAACAAATAACATTTTATTGATATTTATAGAAAAAAAAACTAATAATATTGAAAACTGACAATGTCCGCAAACAGCTCAAAAAGAGTCAAATTATTTTCAAAATTGTATGGTGTATGCTAATATAAATATTCAGTGAAATTTTTAAGTATTTACAGTCATTCGTTTTTTAATTACAATAAAATAAGAACATCGTTACATGATAAATCGAGTGAATATCAAATGTGTGAATTTCAAATGCACATAAAAATTTAATTTGAGTTTCTTGTAGACGTTTTTTTTTTTTTGATGAGGAACTTATGAGGAACCTTGTATTATATTATCAAATCTTAGATTAAAAAAAAAAAATTTTTATGAATTTCTAACTCAAAATAATTTGCAAATTTTCATCATTTTTACGTATTTTGTAAATATCTGAACGCTAAATGCTTATAAAAAAAATTGTGATTATGGATTTTTTATTTTTTATGTGAGTTGGAAACAATATACTAGGAGCCTTCTATTAAATTTTCTAGCTTTTTTAACCAACAAATAAAATTCTATTGATATTTAAAGAAAAAAAACTAAAAAATGGAAACTGAAAATGTTAGGATAAACAGGCGCGGACTTTGCCTTTACGAGCCAGTCTGACGCTGACCTTAATATCAAATTGTCATTCAACTGGTGTACTCACATTGAACCAGTTATAAAGATATTTTATTTTTATTGATAATATATTACGCCCTATAATAGTGAGCTCAATACTAGTTCTTACACCATAATATATTTATTAGCTAAGATAATTATAGAATGTAGTATGTACCTACCTACATAATGCAAGCAGAATGAAGAGGATTCTGAATGAAAAAAAAACATATTCTAAAATAGAACAAACTAGATAAAAATATAAATTTAATAACTATTAAGCAATTTGGAGAAATTCAAATCCACGGAGATCTGCAATATTACACATATAGTTCTTTCCATGATATCGCAGTGTTTTTGGTTTTTTTCGATGTAGGTACCCTGTTGATAAAATTTATTTTCTTTAGTCAAAAATCTTGATAATTTAATACAAACCTCCTCCTGAGATTTTTCACTGGTTAAAAAAAATACCGTAAGTATACTTGAGTAAAATACATAGAATTTCCACAAGCCACATTAATTAATTTTACACAATAGCGTTTTGACGTATTTATTAATAATATTATTATCAAATAAAAACCAAATATTATATAACATAACACACAATTGTATTTAAGTTAATTTACATATACAATTTACATATTATACATTATTACAGTAGCATAGCCATAATTTATAATTATAATTTAGATAGGTATACATTTTTACAAAACATTCCCCATGGTTGGGGTTAGAATTAGATTACACCAATTTCAACTCATATCGTTATATAGGTGAAAAAGGTGCTAGCAGAGGGCAATAGTAACAGCTATTATACATCGGTGATTACCACAGAGGGTCTATGTCACAAACTGAGCGACGTCGACCGGAAAGGAGTGATACAGCGAGGTCGGATACATCACTTCAGCCCGAAATCCGGTGCTCAAAAAGTCGTTATATAACCATATAAACTCATCTAGACGTCTCATTCACCTCACAAATTTCTTGGTCCAACTCCACACTGAACGGCGCGGAAGTCTAGGTGTGATTGCGGTTACCACCACGTCGGGTCCGTCCCCTCATCACTACGACCAACGCAGGTTACCATATCCGTTACCATAAGCCGCATGTCGGCTTCTACCTTTTGTAACAGTAGCAAAGACGACGAGACTACGGATAACGACGTCTCGATCTCGCTTTATCTTCTACAGGGGCATCTGGTTTCATCAATGAGGCAATAAACGATCCGGTACACGGTGAATCGGTGGAAACTGCCAACTCCAAGGACGTAACTGACGGCAATCCAATTTCGGGTGCATCGCCTCTGGAATTTGCACCCACGACCATATTGGACAATGACACAGATCTCTTGCAGTGCACCGGCAAACTATGAAAATCGAATTTTTCCGAAGGTTTTTGTCCATTTTCCCGGTTATCGTCGACAACCGGCAGTATTATATATTATGCGTAAACTTCCACCAGGTCTCCAGTGCTTCAGCTGTGGAATTTTTCAGCAAGGCCATGTTATGTAACGACACAGACCTTTTGTGCACCGGAAAACTAAGGAAATGACCGATTTCCGACGGTTTCTGTTTACTTTCCTGGAGATCGTCGACAACAGGTGGTGTTATATTAGACATTGATTTCCATCCGAACTCTGGTACATTGGCCCCGGGATTTGTCCGCACAGCCATGTTAGGTAAAGACGTACACCGTCTGTGAACCGGCAAGCTATTGAAATCGCAACCATTTAACGGTTTCGGTCTATTTGACCGAAGAACGTCAAAAACCATTTCCATAATTTCGTTTGCAGACAGTTTCTGGTCAACGGATGAATTACTGACGACTGTAGTTAGTTGTACTATTGGGCATGTTGATTTTATGATAAACGTTGAATAAACAGAATAAATAATAATACGAATAAATAATAATACATTCTCCAAACACTTATGCACTTGGCAACAAGATATTTTTTGATTTTGTAAAACTGAATGTATCTTTTTTTTTACATTATATAGGTACAAGCATAGGCGTGCGCACAGTGGGTACCGGGGGTGCCTGGGCACCCCGGACCCTTGACCAAAAACGACAAGGTTACAAGGGCCATAATTATTAATTAAGTATAAATTAAATTAATGAAATTATTAACGTCGATAATCATTATAAGATTTTTTATCTATATATTGTTATGTAATATTTATTTATTTATTAAATAAAATAAATATTTTTGATGCATTCTATATCTTTAAAACATTTGTCTGCATCTATAATTGTTTTCAAAATTATTGTGGGCCCTAATTTTTAGTTTGCACCCTTCAGAACCAAAAGTCTGCTCACGCCTATGGGTACAAGTGTACAACAATTATTTATTAAATTCTTCTTTTAATTTTTAGTTATACTTGTTAAAGTTATATTAAGTTATATTTAAGTTATACTTGTTGAAGTACAAAATTAAAGGTAATTTTATTATTTAAATGAAACCTATCATTTTTAGATGAATGGATATTTGCTATGTATAGAAGGTATATGGAAAAAAACGAAGGAAAAAAAAACACTGGAAAAAAAATAAAATGATAATATAATCAATATTTTTGCGATATATCTTTTTCCTTTATTCTAAATGTCTTTGTAATAAATTGTACATCTGGGCATTAACTAGTTAGTTTTAATTCATATTAATTTTGCTACTTAATTAGTTGAATTTAATATGTAAAATAATCTAATCTAATTTGTTAAAAATAATAGATAACTAGTTATTTTTGTAGTTTATTTTTTCATTTATTGAATGATTTAATTTCTTATTTTGTTGTATTCTAATGACTGATATTCCAAGAAATTAAGGTTATTGTCTAAATATTTTATAAATTTTATCAAATTATCAGTTGACAGTTGTACCTACCCACCAACTTAATAATTAATTTATATAATGCATTACATTTGAAAAAAAGTGAGCAAGTGGATGGATGTCGCTCTGCTGTACAGTAGGTTACAAGTGAGACACTGTATAATGGATGGTATTAAATTTGAATTCAATGATATAATATCATTGTATAAGAATAACGATTCTGAGAGGAGACGGTATGTCAGTCTAGGTATAAGACATACTATATATTATACTATATAGTATATACAGACTATATACTTATCTATGGTATTAAAATTGACTAATAATAGGTACCTATAATAAATTCCAAATTAATCATATCACAATATTCATTAGGTGCTTATAACGCCTTATACATCAACAACAAACAGTGATACTATCATAGATATGTATACTTTAGAAGTTTCAAGTACCCACGAATAATATTATACAATCATAACAAAATAACTAAAATAGTTATTCTAGGTTTTTTAATATGTAATTTCGTCCAAATTGAACTTAAAATGACTATAAAAATAAACTGTGTTTATGTATTTATGTTTTTGATTTTTTGGTAACAGAATTAACTACTCACGTGGAATCTTGTTTTAAATTTTCAATCCTTAGATATAAAAGTTTAACGTTAAAAGTTGAAGTTTATACATTTTTAACTACAAAATAATTATTCAATTTTAAATTTGATAAATTTTGTAGAAATTTGATCTTTAAATGCTTGTAAAAAAAAATTGTGAATTTTTGATCGGGTATAGAAAATGAAAATATAAAAACCAGTTAAAATGTCATGTATTTACGGACATTTGTTTTAAAGTTACACCAAAAACCAAAGTCGATTTTATAAAAAATCGATTTTACGTAAAAATGCCCGTTTTTCCTTAATTTTCTTTTGTTGTTCACTGCGCTTTTGAAACTTACTGGGGAATTTTAAATTTTGACCTCCAATAATATTCACTTTCCCATCGAACAAAATACTGAAGTCGAAAAGACACAAAAAAAATAAAAAAATAAAAAACACACATCATTGTAAAAACAATACATCCATCGTTCCACTCAGAATCTAAAATATGAAGAATCATATAACTCCTGGACTATTGGTTATAGTGTATAAATTCTAAATTAAATTTCCCTGTACGTATGTATCCATCGAATGAAATCAACCAAACCAGCCGGAAAACTGAGTCTTAGAGCACAGTGCACACCAACCTAATCATTATTCTGTTTGTTAAAATCATATCTATTACTATTAAATATTAATATACACATCTAAGGAAACTAGGTTAAAAGTGAATTCTATGCATGAGGCGTTGGTACTTGGTAGGTATATATATATATACCTAGGTACCAGTTTGCATGAATGGCGTAGAATTTTTAAATTATTCAGATGTCCTTATGATTGCTGTTTTGGATAATAAATAAATAAATTGTTAAGTCACAAAAAATAATATGTACGTATACCTACGTTTTTAGGCGATCATTTGATGATATCCTTGTGCGTCGCCCGTGTATCTGATCATCATAAATTACTCAAAATGACACTTTTCGTTGTTATAGGTACGTTGTCGAAACTATTTTAAATAAATTAAGGGCTCTGTGTAATTAATAAAGGATACCAAGCATTTTTCCATCGTAATTAAAAAATGTTTCGCTAATTCAATTATGTACCATCAAGATCGTATGAAATATACAAGTCTACTTGGATGTAAAATTATTAATGATAAAATGAAAAATGAAAAATACAACCGTATACCGAGTACACTCGATCACGTTAAAATTTAATTTTATAGTCAAAGCAATACGTAATAATATATGGAGCATTGGTGCATGTGTAGTCGTTATTGTGTAGTGTAGACTGTAGATAAATACTGCGTAATAATACATTGCCAGAGTACCTACAGGTACACATAAAGTCGGTGGTTAAAATGAAGAATAATTGATTGTTTTAATTTCACAAAATCATATTATTATTTTACTTTTTGTTTTGTTTAGTTTTCTATTATTTGTTCCACTGGAGGGGTTCGTTGTATACATCAATTTGTATTCTGTCAGTCATGTTTCGATACAACAAAAACGCTCGCTCAGTGACGCATATATGAAAACCAATCATAATAATAATTATTCGTTAAATCTATGGAGCATGCACCGATCTATACGGCCAAAATGAATAAATTTAACAAGGTTCTACACTTCTACCTACCGTTATTCATTCCATATTTTTCTTCCAATAAACATTTTTATCATCGTAAATACAATAGAAAAACATTTTCTGGTGTAATAGAACGTCACATATTCACTTTCTAAATTGATTAATATAGGCACTTTTAATGAAATTTAAAAAACATCTACATTTTTAATATAAGTAAATATACTAATTCAAGTAATAGTATTTTAGCCTAATTGTATTTCAGAATTATTAATCTATTTTGTAACAGAAATTAATGATTAATAACTAATATAGTTTTTATATAAATAAATAAAAATTTAAATTTAACATTTTCCAAATCATATGTGATGCTCCTGCAAAGGTGTTTATTCTTAATATAAAACAATGTAATGCATATTATGCTTGCAATTCATGCACAGAAGAAGGTACATTTATTAACAGAATGACCTTTTCAGGAATGGACTCAGAATTAAGAACTGATAAATCTTTTCATGAAAAAAACTGATTTAGATTATCATAAAGGCAATAGTTCATTATTACATTTTAAAATCGATATTACATTATTATTGTTCTCCGCGACTACATGCATAATATTTGTTTGGGTGTTATGAAGATGATAATGCTATAATTTTGGTTGAAAGGACCAAAGCCAGTAAGACTTTCTAAAATAGATATTGACATTATTTCTTCAGAACTAATAAATTTAAAAACATATTTTCTGCAGAATTTAGTACGCTACCTAGATTGCTTGAAGAAGTTGAATTTTGGAAACAGATCAATTTTACTATAACTGGACCTATTGTTATGGGAGATTAAAGAAAAAATGCTATGATCATGGTATTATTAGTCACACAGCTATTTGTCTTCTTGTTTCCAATATAAGACTTGCTTAACTTATAATAATGTGGCTACAGCTTTAATTAGAAAATGTGTCTATGATTATTCAATTTTGTATGAAAATTAATTTACTACGTACAATGTTCACAGTGTACTACATTTATCTTATTTTGTAAAACATCCTGGACAGCTAAATATTTTTTTAACGCATTTAAATTTTAAAATTATTTGTGGTTTGTTAAAAAAAGCTTAAAGAATACAACATTTCAACTTCAAAATGTTTATAACCGTATTATAGAACAAAGGAACTTCAAATACAATCAGTTATAAAAAATTATTATCCTATTTAAAAAAAATAAATCCATAAATATGATACATTTTATTTATACAATTCAATTGTAACTTATTATGAAAAACGTAGGTATAACCGATCAATTTTTAATATGCTCTATATTATATTTAAAGAATGGTAATTTTATTTTAAAAGATAATAGTATTGTTGTTGTAAAAAAATGTTTAAAGTATTCCAATAGTCAAATTAAGTTAGGAGTACTGAAATAGGTATAATACTTATTCTGTAATGTCTAATAAACCTATTGAATCAAATATTGCTGGATCATTTTATGTGAGTACAACACATATTTCTGATCTATTTTTATTAAATCAAAATATATTAAGAATAAATGTTTTTTTTTGTTCTATACCTGATGAAAAGACTGTTGTCATTAGCTTATTACATATCAGTGAGTAATATCATATGATATTATATATTATATTACCTATATAATGTTATAATATTTTAGATTCTGAGCGGAGCGAGGAAGCTAGTGGTTTTACAATGGTGTTTATTTTTTTTTTTATATCCTGTATACAAAATTTCTACCAGAAGGAGTGCTTTGATTTCAACATATAGTACCTTA